GAAAACACTCAACAACGGCTTTTATCACCGGCATTGTAATCAAATAACGAATGCACGCTTGTCTCATTGAGTAATGTGTTCTTGTTCATTCTGTTTCCTTAGTAGAAGACATTTAATTCTTGAGTAACTGTGAGCATTTTCCACTGGCGAAAAGAAGGGACTACAAATTGACCCACTCCATGATTTGGCAATGTGGAATGGCACGACAAATTCGTGCTGAGATGGGCCTAGTTTCAAGGCAACAAGATCAACTGCAATTCGCAGTAGCTAATCCACGTAAATGTGAGTATGCGAAATGTCTGACCTAATTTTCCTAACTTCTTTTTTCATCAGAGCTTGTTAACAATCCATGGTACTGTTAAAGGTGATTGATGCTACAACTACTGGTGAAGCTTTTCGTGAAAGCCCGTTGAAGTGTTATACTTGAATAGGAGTTCAATCGTATGGTGTGACGTGTTCAGCACGGTCCATCGCAGTGTTCTCAGTAGGCGATTCTACCCACCAGTGGAACCTTTTAGACCACAAGAACGGGCATTTATTTCACAGAACTCATTGAATACACCCTCGCCTTTCCCGAAGAAGTCAAATTTATTTTGAAGACCTTCCAGAAAGCCTTAAAATTGTTAATAGAAATAACGAGAATGGAATGTCACACGAAAAAGCGATGGTATTAAATATCTACAGAAAGTGAAGTGCTTGCATAGTAAAAGGAGTAGACCAGCCCGCATATCTAGGTGGCTGTGGTGTGCCAGAATTCCCCAGTGGCACCTGTTCGTGAACCGTCCTTATTTACCGCCATCATGGTCAAACTAATCGCTTAAATAATCGCACTACATATTAGTTAAGCGCCGATCAGGCATCCAGTAACACGTACTACCTCAACATTGATAGGATTGTTCGATATGCTATACTATGGCGTGCCGTGCTGTGCTGTGGGAGGGAATGCAACTCTCACGTCAAAGAACGCCACTGTCGTACAGACGCTTGACCGACCCATCTCCCCTGCTACAGTCAAGTCAGTCAAAAGTCCTCGTTTACAGCTACCGAGTGTGCCTTCATCACAGCGCACTTCGCAAAAAGGCTTCTGTGGAGATGATTAGATGCACATGGACTCGACGTCTTCGTCGTCATGTACGGGGAAGTTGCTTTCACCACTTCACTTTGAACTGTACGCACGCACACACACACACACATGCCCCCACTTACTCCCATGCCTGTCAACCTGATGGCCGAGCCACTGCAGCTGCAATTAATCATCCCACATGCGTCGCCTGTTGGTGGCCTTAAAAGGGCACACCACCAGACATTCTGGCAGTGTGTAGTATTGTCGCGGTATCATCCTCTTTGAAGGACTGCTTGTGCAGTGAGGAGTCGGGAGGTGGTGCGATCCGCCTTCATACGACTCCATTTTTGAACACTTTCTTGCAAGCCTCTAAATTCTTCTAAATTTGACTACACTCTCTTCACTCCACGTGTAGATTTCATCTAGAAATTGCTACATTTCTTCCAGCAACTCATGCCCCTCTTGTGTATTTAAGCTAGCATCTATGCAGACGTCATGCGGGAGGGGAGGACTCCATCGCTGTGGACGTTAAGAGGAATGGCCTCAAGATTAATCACCTGCTTCAATGTAGTTCTCCCTCAAAAGCAAATGTGGAAAACAGTGTCATGTGACAGACCGAAATCATTTTCATTTCTTCACAACATCACCGTCCACAGAATGAAACTGGGTGTTGGTTTCGTGTCAAAAAAAATTAGTCTTGCATGCCTGTGCACTTCGCCCGAGCAGTGTCATGTGGGACTCACCTGACATTTTAGTGAATGAACCCAGAAAACACTCAACAACGGCTTTTATCACCGGCATTGTAATCAAATAACGAATGCACGCTTGTCTCATTGAGTAATGTGTTCTTGTTCATTCTGTTTCCTTAGTAGAAGACATTTAATTCTTGAGTAACTGTGAGCATTTTCCACTGGCGAAAAGAAGGGACTACAAATTGACCCACTCCATGATTTGGCAATGTGGAATGGCACGACAAATTCGTGCTGAGATGGGCCTAGTTTCAAGGCAACAAGATCAACTGCAATTCGCAGTAGCTAATCCACGTAAATGTGAGTATGCGAAATGTCTGACCTAATTTTCCTAACTTCTTTTTTCATCAGAGCTTGTTAACAATCCATGGTACTGTTAAAGGTGATTGATGCTACAACTACTGGTGAAGCTTTTCGTGAAAGCCCGTTGAAGTGTTATACTTGAATAGGAGTTCAATCGTATGGTGTGACGTGTTCAGCACGGTCCATCGCAGTGTTCTCAGTAGGCGATTCTACCCACCAGTGGAACCTTTTAGACCACAAGAACGGGCATTTATTTCACAGAACTCATTGAATACACCCTCGCCTTTCCCGAAGAAGTCAAATTTATTTTGAAGACCTTCCAGAAAGCCTTAAAATTGTTAATAGAAATAACGAGAATGGAATGTCACACGAAAAAGCGATGGTATTAAATATCTACAGAAAGTGAAGTGCTTGCATAGTAAAAGGAGTAGACCAGCCCGCATATCTAGGTGGCTGTGGTGTGCCAGAATTCCCCAGTGGCACCTGTTCGTGAACCGTCCTTATTTACCGCCATCATGGTCAAACTAATCGCTTAAATAATCGCACTACATATTAGTTAAGCGCCGATCAGGCATCCAGTAACACGTACTACCTCAACATTGATAGGATTGTTCGATATGCTATACTATGGCGTGCCGTGCTGTGCTGTGGGAGGGAATGCAACTCTCACGTCAAAGAACGCCACTGTCGTACAGACGCTTGACCGACCCATCTCCCCTGCTACAGTCAAGTCAGTCAAAAGTCCTCGTTTACAGCTACCGAGTGTGCCTTCATCACAGCGCACTTCGCAAAAAGGCTTCTGTGGAGATGATTAGATGCACATGGACTCGACGTCTTCGTCGTCATGTACGGGGAAGTTGCTTTCACCACTTCACTTTGAACTGTACGCACGCACACACACACACACATGCCCCCACTTACTCCCATGCCTGTCAACCTGATGGCCGAGCCACTGCAGCTGCAATTAATCATCCCACATGCGTCGCCTGTTGGTGGCCTTAAAAGGGCACACCACCAGACATTCTGGCAGTGTGTAGTATTGTCGCGGTATCATCCTCTTTGAAGGACTGCTTGTGCAGTGAGGAGTCGGGAGGTGGTGCGATCCGCCTTCATACGACTCCATTTTTGAACACTTTCTTGCAAGCCTCTAAATTCTTCTAAATTTGACTACACTCTCTTCACTCCACGTGTAGATTTCATCTAGAAATTGCTACATTTCTTCCAGCAACTCATGCCCCTCTTGTGTATTTAAGCTAGCATCTATGCAGACGTCATGCGGGAGGGGAGGACTCCATCGCTGTGGACGTTAAGAGGAATGGCCTCAAGATTAATCACCTGCTTCAATGTAGTTCTCCCTCAAAAGCAAATGTGGAAAACAGTGTCATGTGACAGACCGAAATCATTTTCATTTCTTCACAACATCACCGTCCACAGAATGAAACTGGGTGTTGGTTTCGTGTCAAAAAAAATTAGTCTTGCATGCCTGTGCACTTCGCCCGAGCAGTGTCATGTGGGACTCACCTGACATTTTAGTGAATGAACCCACGAAATCGTTTGAACCGCTGAGTTGGTGTGGAGCTTTTTTTGGGGTAATCACTTAACAGTGGTTTGAGGTAAGGACAGAAAGAGGTGTGTTTTGTATGGATAGTAGATGTATCCAAGAGGGAGTATTGGGTTTTTAGGATTCAACAGGATCGGTGATTTTTTAATGCCACCAGAGGAGAAATTTACTTTTTATTTTCATATCCATAAAGCTAGTGCTCTCGTCACGTGAGTCGGCATCTATCAGTGCGGTTGGACCACATGCAGACCAATGTAGGCGGCAGTCTATCGTACAACAGTACCTCTAATTATAATGCCATCCCACACTGATGATTCACAATGTCGGTTGAACGGTGAATACCTTAAAACCACGACTTTTTCCAGTTTTACTAAAATGAGTAACAAGAAAACACGTTCAATAATGCATAGTCGTCAGAATGGGTTGAAGCACATCCATCATCTATTAATCAAACGTGTTCAAATGACAGCTGATAATGAAGTGCTAACTAAACAGACATGCGTGCCTTTGAAAAGTGGTTGATGTTTCCACTGAGGTGGAAGAAAACCAACATAAGTTAAATATTTTATCAGGGAACAAAAATATGAAATCTAACATCAGCTCATTAATCTTTTTTGTCTTTTCATTATATCCTCGAGTACTTATATACCTAGTCCCCTTAGAGAAGTCACTAAACGAGGCCTACAGCTTACCCCCTCCACTTCTGAAGATGCATTAGATTAGAGGTTTGCCCTTCGCCAGAGTCGTAGAACATTAATTTTGGAAAGTTTGTAAGATTTGAGAGGGAGAAAGACGTACTACCTACAACTATTTTGGGAGCTACTAAAATAGACAGTTGACTTCTTTAAAATTTTCTGCTTAAAACACGAGATACTATTCAGTCAATCAACAGTAATAAAAGATAAGGCTCCACAAGACCATAAACCAAATTTATTCATAATTGTACAAGGATAAGCACATCTAAGTCCATGTACAAAGGAGCATCCAGCGAAGGGTAGGGCATTCATCGTCTGGTGTCTATTGTCTCTGAAGTAAAGTAAGCATTTCCCCCTGATTTAAATTTGGACTAGGATGTCGAAATGTATTCACTGCATCGCATGACTATTAGCTGGCATTCCAATCTTGATTTTTACACGATTTACACCTAAAAATCTAAATCCACTTTCGGCAGTGTGAGATAAGAATGGTAGACTGTTTTCGTTTTTTCATAATAAATTTTAAGATATCTTACTATTGTATAGCATATTTCCAGTGAAAATATATTTCTTATTGGGACAGATATTTTAGTCTACTTGTGAGTAGTTTACGAATGACATTTAGCTCCCCAAAAATGCATACTACTTAAGTAGAATATGTATTGTCGACGTACTGGAGGGATTGGGGGCCACGGAGATGCCCCGGAGGCCATGCTCTCTGGCTGTGTACGGATTCAAAGTGGGTCGTTACCCCCAAAACTGAGAGTTAAGTAAACAATTAAAGTAGCTCATAGCCCCTCTCCTCTTGAGCATTATTTGGGCACCCCCTTTGTCAATTTCCCTTGTCGGCCATCACAGCACATTTAGTGTTGTAAGAAGAGCATGCACAAACCTGCAGTACCAGTCGTTGAATGTGCTTTGCAGTTTAGACGATATTTGAAAGCTACATCACTGATACCTCCTAACAAATCTGAGTTTTTGTCTTGTTTGGGAAATGTATTAAAAGAAGAGGGGAAGTGCAGGACTTCACTTATGTCCATAGTTAGTGGTCAAAACACTGGCCTAAAAGTAGTCATGCAACAAAGTTAAAACCTACTTATTTTTCGACTTTTGCTTAGTATGTGGAATCAGTAATACAAAAAAATTGCGTCCTCTTGTTCTCATTCTCACATGCATATACACCCATTAAAGATCAAAGTGGGGGAAGAGAAATTACATTCTCTGAGTTGTATCAGAGTTTAGTACTTTTTGAAAAGTAAATTTAGACTGATCGTGCGAAATTTTGCATTTATCTCATTATTCGACTATATTTTAAAGAGCAATTTCTTGCCCTAATTGTTGGGCATTATTTTGCAGATCTTCCCACTCTGTCGAATTTTGGCATCACCCACGGTGATAGGAAGATTTTCTAGACCTGTAATGCTTTGCAACGTCTATGCAACTAATTCAGAGTCAACCTCATAAAATGGTCTAAAAATAATAGCTAATGCTAATGACTTCGAAATGTCCTATATCAATGAAACCGGGCATAACACATAAGCAACAAGGTATCGTTAAGGGTGCAATCTTGTGCACAAGGAGATATTTTTATTGGACATTTTATTTTATGGCCTCGCTTTCCACAAATTTTTTTTAAAAAACACGATACTATCACACTGGGGAAAATGTTTGAAGCAGAACTTCGCCCACGTATAGGTGACAAAATAGGCTCTTCCACTATCCAGTCAAAAGCCTCATAATGGCAATGAAAAATCACCGTATAACGCTCCGGTTTTTCAACTTGACTTCGCTGATCTTGACAGCCTCTCTTCATACATTTGCAATGATTTGAGACATTCAAGAAGACATCCCAAGAGGTGGTAGCCTAAAAGAACGCCTATTGTCAAGAGGCTATACGCGAAGACAGGCCACTAGGACATACGATTTTGCTATACCCTCCATACCGGTGGTGGGCAGCAATTTTACCAGTCTTTCACATCCGTTAGTTCGCTTTGGAACCACCTGCCTTTTGACGTTCTAACGAGAATCCTTGAGACCTGTGCAATGGCCACGTCCATCTATGCACCGCAGAGAACAGAGCAAACTTTAAGTAATTACAGTAGCATGTAATTAATTTTCATATAAATATGCCGGTTCTCTTATAGGGAAAAAACGCCGAAACTGGTGGAAATATTCCTAAGTTGGTGCATGATTTAGAAATATGGTATACACTATTCGGAAGAAAGACGGTTCAATAAAGTTGATATTAACATATTCTACCTCTCTGTTATTGCATACGACATGTCCACAGGCCTTTCTAAGTGGGTTTTGAATAATGCTGGTCGTAATGTTGACCTAATCGGTGAGCAACAGTGAGGCCTTGGCATCATATTCGTGTTTTTTTGTCCTATCTCTTAATGACGTCCATAATATACCAGTCCAAGGCATTCATATCATAGAAGGTGACACAGTAGTACAACCTTTCTGGCTATCCACTTATAAGAAAGAATAGGAACCTTGGCTATTTGGGAGACCGGCAAATTTCTGAGGTTTACGCTTTCAGGCGGAAAGATATCCTACAAAGCCTCAATAGTTTGCGCAGTTAAACAAATAGACAAAAGGGTTCTTAAATTATTACGTAGCTCCCTATTTCTTGGGAGCGCCGGCCTCGACACTAGCCTTGGTGGACTTCTCCATCGGCTGAATTCGTTGAATTTTGTATGAAGAAGAATATGTTTGACCTCTAAGTCAAACTGTATTGTATCCTGAAATCCATCCTAATGGGAAACAATATTGGGGTAGTAAAAATAACTAAATTCATGCTGCTAAAAACTGGATGATGCTCCTCAATGATTACACTTTATTGGCTGAAAATCAGTGCTATTAAATAAAAGACAATGACTAAAATAGCTTCATTGAGTTGGTTTTCTATTTTGATTCCCCCTTACCTCCTTGTTCTCACTTGGTTAACTTCAGCGTTTAGCAGTCTATCGGGTTCCATTCAGCTGGTAGGGAAGTAGAGGAGGTACCGTTGGTTCACATAATTACTATCTACACATAACCGTCATTGACATCTTCAGAATAAACTTTTAGAATAGTCCAAGTCTAATACTTCTTCAATTTTTATTGGGCCCCTTACAAATTAAGAGATTGGAGTAATCGTAAATGGCAGACGTCGTATGAACTCTTCTTTCGGGAATCGTGACATATTTAATCACCTGCGGTAGGCTTCCAGCTTCTTCAATGCCAAATCCTAATAATCAGACACGGAAGTTTGGGTATTTATACTTTTTGGGTCGTGACCAATTTTTTCTGCCGATTATGCGGTGTCTAAGTTTTTTTTTTGATACTGCAATAAATCGTAATAACCTGAAGTTCTACTACTAAGGTACAGAAGGATTGAGAAGCTGTAGGCATAGCCAGAAAGGTACACCCCACTAGGAAAATCCACCCTGATAAAGAAAATATCAAGACACCAAATGTCTACCTTAGCAACTCTTCTGGGATCCGTGCCCTTTAGCCTCCCAGTCCTCACTTTCACCGATAAATGGCAGCCAAATCCGTTAGCTCACAGCTCGATTTTTTATTAATCAAAATAGCTCAATTAATTGGTCTAATTTACCAGCATTTGTTCTACCTGTTTTTCTTTCCATTAGGTGTGAAAGGAAATTGAAATCGGTTCATACTCTCCATTGAGGTTATTTTGGCACAAAGCCATGCGAACTTTTCCTCTGGAAATTTCATATATTTGATCAAATGTCTTTTGGAAATGGAATATTTCTATGGAAATTATTTTGTTCGGATCAAACTACACCTACGATATCACTAAGGCAACTTCCTTCACTATCTTGCATATCAAGTGTCAGTGTTAGTCACTTGTTACCCTCCCAGTTTTGCCGTTGGGTGTGGCACTCAGCCGCGTGCGCCATTGCCATGTCTCGTGGCGTACACAACGCAATTCACACACCACATTCTGTTAGCGCTGATTCTATTCAATCCATGAGGCACGTTTCACTGCAACACTATGCCTCTCCAGCAAACTACAAACTACCTCCCAATTGACGATGAACCTACGCATCGAGGAGATGGATGGGATTGTGATTGTCAGGGGAATGTGTATTCCATCACATACCATTACAACTGCTCACCACAATCCCCATCATCTGTGATTGCATTAGCATATTCACACTGACATACGCAGTATTCGGTTATTTGGCATTAACCACCTCATACACTGCACCCACACACACTCCACACTCACATGCATGCACACTCACATGCACACATCAGTGGCCAAAGTGGTCCACATAACTGGCCTCGTCTGACCGACAGGCTTCCATGTTTGAGGGGAAAAGGAGCAACCAATGCTTGCAGTGGACACCACGTAGAAATGAGCGTCATGTTTGTTTAACTCACCTGTGCACAGGTTGGCTTGGATTGAGGCGACTTGGGAGACGCACGCGTCGTGTGGGTCACTGGGCTGGGGTCATTGGATTGTATCACGAGTCTGGGATTAACACAGATTAATAATGGGAGAGATTTGACAAATTTGTCAAAAATTGTGAATTTTAAGCTGAAGTTTTAAACATTTTACTTTCAATGTTGTACTCATCCTGTCTTATTCTCGTAAACATACAGTTATTCTTTAACCTGTAATTAATTAACAGGAAATTCTTATTTAAATAGCAGTATGTGTGATTACGAAGGCCTGTAGATGGACTTTAATTTGCTTGCTTCCTTTTAAACTCTAAACAGGAGGCCAATGATAGGGTGCAAGTGTAAATTTCTGGATTGAAACAACTGGGCATTGTGGAGGTGTCTTCTCGTGTTATTACTATCACATTCACCAAGTATGCAGCTCAGGCTGTGCCTACAATTTTGGGCTCTTTACCACGCAGATTGTATGAAATCTACCCACTGATTTCCTCCTGTCCAGGGCTGGCTGATGCTTTGCTACAATATCGTTCAGTCCAGCCCTCAGTCACAGAAACCTTGCTTTAAATCTGCGCCAAGTTTTAAGACATCTTGTTCTAATCCGTCTTAGGTCAATATTCCGCCCTACTTTGCCCGTTCTGTTTTTTTTGGTCTCATTATTGGGTAGCTATCTATTATGCTCTTATTCGCTTTCAAGAGACGTGGAGGGGTTTTATAACCTTTCCTGATAAGTACTGAGGTCAGCAGAAATTATTGCAGCCCGCCATTGCCACACCTGCTGATTGCCTTCCTGAAGACGAACAGACTCCCTTAACTACTAAAAGTAGGCGCTCTTTTGTGGTCTTCAGAAGTGAGCCTCCTCAAAACCAGCCACCTATAGCAGATATCTTCCTCCTGTGGCCCTAAAGTCTGCTAAGCAAGCAAAGCAATTGGGACATTTTTTATTTTCAAGCGGGTCCACTTGGAGTAGCCACCACTGCCGTGTGTCGTGGCCTTTTCAAAATCGTGATGAACCATACTAGCATGGCGGCTGCAGAATCATTTTTCCGAGGTAAGGTATAACCTTCTGAATAGATAAATGCCGAGCAACCAAGCATAAAATGAAACAAGAATCGAATCACTACATGTAGATTAGTTAGTCCAAGCAATTACCATTAGGTATCGTTCAAAATACGATTAACACTACATCATCGAGATATATTGGTCTTGGTCCTACACACCAGTAATTTAAAGCAAATTAATGCTGTCAAGGTAGGTTTTGCAACATTTCGAATGATGGCTTGATTGGAAGTTTAGCTTTTTAATCCTAAATATAAGAATTGTTTCACAAATATTCTAAGTCAAAACAACCAAGATGTAGCGCATTGAGAATTCCAGACGAGTTGTTTGATACTGCAATTCCGCCGGACGGAAACACAACGGCCATGTCCATTGGTACTCCCGATGCCAAACGAAGGCCTGAACCGATAATTAATTTACTACGTTGCTCCTCGTCGGCCATCACAACGTAGTCAGTGCTGCAAGGAAACAGCTACAAAGCAGGCTAGCGGGACATCCAATTGGCGTGCAGTTGAGAAGAGATGCGACCTCAGCGTCACTGATCACTCTTGGGAATTGTGCTGGATCTAAAGTTTTGCCCCGTTTGGGAACTGTAGTGAGGGCAGGGGGAATGAGGAGGCCATCACTAGCCTAAGAGCAGAGTCATTTAACTAAGAACAGGATTACAAATAATCTAGTGGGGATAAATTATTTGAACCTCTTTCTCCTTGTCACTCTGTTCTCTCTTCAGTGCTGTTCAACCATACATCTCTTTGGGGAATAACCATCTAGTAGATAGGTGAAGGTAATGCATCTTTACTTGATTGGCATCTTTATACAGATAGCGTAAACTGCTCCGTACCGAACTATTCCAGATAGTTTACGGCCAGTGTCGCTGCTCTTTTTAATGTCCTTCCTGGAGAACACGGGACTAGGTAGTTGTCCAAGGTAGGCGTCATTTTAACCCTTCAGAGATTCTTCCAACCTCAGCATATGCCCCTCCTTCATGACGGTAAGGTTTATCATCCAGTAATTTTATCAAGGTAGTTGCCCTCAAGGATCGGATTCGCTTTACTTTGCCGCCAACTTTGTACTTCCTGTCTATTCTGAAGACAAAAGAAGTCATAATACTAGGACAGAATGTGTAATGCCGACGTAAGGAAGGGCTGGCGCCTATTGGCTTAGCGCGGAAGGCCTACCTTTGGTGGAAGTACAAAGGTGGAGCCTTAAGTGTCCACAAAACCAAAAGGAAAGGCTAATCAATTAATCAAAATATCAAAAAATCCCCACTATTGACAACACCTAAGCACCGTTATTAAGTAGGCCATTGGAAAAAAAGCTCCAACGGAATCAGTTACAGAGATGCGTAAAAGTCGTTTCATAGACTTCCCTCTCTCTTTCTGGTCAAAAATGAATTAAATTTTAGTTATTCCGAGTAATTTTGCTTCTGCTTAAGACACGATTGAATATAAATTTTGCGACAATGGATTTGACACTGTCAGTCTGTTATTTTCTGCATGCAAGCGTTCCACTGGACCGACCAACTGATTTCTGTAGTGCCATCATCAATGGTGGGTGTGTACAAGATCACACGGAATTGAGTTTTCCTAACAATGTAAGCAGAGGTGTTTTGATTCATTAAGTCAACTAGTCATGTGATGTTGTATTAATCGTACTCTCTCTTTTTGTGTGGAACTTTGGACAGGTCACGCGAAACTACTTATGTGTACGGATTTTATTGTTTCGTGGGTGAAAACAATAACCACTGGCGGATGAGTGCATCTTCTTGGAGGTAAGAATTAATCCCTGTTTTTCAATCTAACTTACTTAGATTTAGATCTACCAAATTTCAGATCAGTATCCTTTAATAACCATCTTTCATTTGAGAGAAGTCCATCTCAAATTCCATCTGTTTAATGTGCTTTTAGAAAAGTGTTTCAATTCAAAAATATGAAATATCCAAAATATGAAACGTTCCATAATTGGAGCTAACGTTGAACTCTGCATAACCTTTTTGCCTGAACCTATTAGCGGTTGTGATGAATAAATGGGAGAGGTAAACAAAATGACATGAGATAGGAGGATCGTACCCGTTCCTGATGCCTTGTTTCCCAGGACCTCTTACGACTACCAATAGTCGGCGCATAGGTCATGATTCGTTGCAGCCACAGAGGCACCATCCATAAGGATGATAATAATTAATGCTAGTGCATGCTTGCAAGCTCGCCCACCTGCATAATGTCTGACGTGAAGTGATGAAACCAAATCCCCTGTGCTTGTCAACGAAGCCCTTGACTCCACGCACATCCACTCGTCTTGATAGGAGCCTTCAAACGTAGTGCGCTACGATGATGGCATACTAGTTTGCTGTAAATAATGATATTTGATTGACGTTAATGTAGCAAGGGTGATAGGTCAAGTGTATGTTCGTCCCTGGCGTTCATTGATGTGAGGGTTCCGCTCCCGCCTGCATCACGGCAAGGTATGTAGTGCCCCTAGACTTCCCTAAAGACAAAAGAAGACCTACTACTTTGACAGAACATACACATTCGATATACGGTAGGTAGTAGGGCTTCTGGAATGGCCCGAAGGCCAGCCCACTCAGCAAGGTACATCAGCTAAGACAAAGTAACCCCTTACCAAGACCGACCGTTAAGCAAACAACCAACGTATTACAAGTACAGCACAGCAATCATTCCTACGAAAACAAAGGTATAGCGTGCAACAACTACCTAGTCATGGATGTCCAGTCAGTTCGGGGAACAAGCCCTTTGAAATTTGATCAGTTTGGGCACCAATAACGAGGTGAAACAAACCCTTCTAGAATTATTAAAAGGTGATGCCAACTTGTTCTGCTCCGGACCATGTTTTCCGGGCATTAAATAAACACCGAGATAGTGATCAAATGTAAAAGAAGTATGTGCCTAAGGTACAGTGCAATTTGCGCCTTCCTTCTATTAAGTCTAAAACTCCGGTTTTACTTAGACGTATCTTGCAACTGGATAATCGCAATGTTTTTTATTGTCGACGCAAAGATGGGCTG